AATATTTAATCCATCAATAACTAAATACACGTTTTTTTTTCCTCAGAGGCACATGAATTATATTCACACACACAAAAAAGATCATAGGCCACAAAGCAACTCCTAATAAAAAAAAGAGAGAGATAATACCTTGCATTTGATCAGATCTTAATAGAATGAAATTAGAGATCAATGATAAAACAAAAATAGAAACTACTCTAACACACTGCCACTAAATATTATGTATTGAATGGCTAAAAGATAATAGAATAAAACTTGCATTAAATGAAAATACATAGATGTAAGTGAGAATTGTGAAACAACTTATCAAAATCTCTAGGACACTATGAAGATGGTTTTAAAAGTTCGTGTCATTGAGCACATTATGTAAAAGAATAGGAAGTTGCCAAATAAATAATCTAATATTACATCACACAGCCCTGGAAAAAGAACAAATTAACACTAAAAGTAATAGAAAACAGGAAATAATGAAAATCAGATTCAAATCAATACAATTGAAACAAAACAATTCAAAAAATAGAAAAAACAAAAAGTTGTTTTAAAAAAAATTCATAAAACTTTAGGCAAGAAAAATAAAGAGAGAAAACTCAAATAGCTAAAATTTGTGATACAAAAGATATATCAGGATGGACATTATTGAAATACACATGATAATTAGAAACTACTTTTAAAATCTATAATCCAATAAAATAGAAATCATGAAGAGATCAACCAATTTCTAGAAACATATGATTTAACCAAATTGAATCAAGAGGACATGTAAAAATTTAAACAAATAAATTTCAAGCAATGAAGTTGAGGACACCATCCAATACTTACCTAAAAAGAAAAGCCAAGAACAAGATAGATTCTCAGCCAACACTTCCAGATCTGCAAGAACTAACATGAATCTCCTCCAAGTATTTCATGAAATAAAAAGGAAAGACCCTTCCAAACACATTTTATCAAGCTAGAATAGTCTTCATTAAAAAAATAAAGAAAGAAACAAATATCAAGTAAAGGAAATTTTAGATCTATATCCCTGATGAACTTAAAAATACAAATCCTTCATAAAATATGGAAAAAATAAAAAAAAAACATATTAAAAGATAGTGCACAATGATGAATTTGGGTTCATCCCAGGGATACAAGGTTGGTTCAACTTATGGAAATCAATTAATGTAAATTATCATGTCAATGGACTTAAAGACAAGAGTGATATTATTATCTCAATGAATGAAGAAAAGACATTGAACAAAATTAAGCATCCATTTATGTTCAAAGTATTAAAAAATCTAGATATAGTAGGACCATACACCAATATTGTAAAAGTAATATATTCTAAACCCAAGGCCAATATCATTCTGAATGAAGAGAAACTGAAAGCATTCCCTCTAAAAACTGAAAAAAATACAGAGATGCCGTCTTTCACCACTTCTATTCAACACAGTCTTTGAACTCCTAGCCAGAACGTTTGGAAGAAAATATTAAATAAATATGAAAAGGAAAAGAGTCAAACTAACTGTATTTGCTGAAGACATGATTGTATATTTAGAAAACACAAAAACTCCACTAGAAATCTTCTAGAACTTATAAATAAATTCATCAAAGTAGCAGGATATAAAATTAACACCCATAAACCAATTGCATTTCTACAAATAATGATCAATCACCTGAAAGAGAAATCATGAAAATTATGTGACTCAAAATATCTTTAAAAATAATATAAAATAAAATACTTGAGCATCTAAAAAAGAGGTAAAAGATGTCTACAATAAGACTACAGAACACTAAAAAAAAAAAAAAATCTTCAAGACGACCTTAGAAAATGGAAAAATGGAAAGACTTCCCATGCTCTTGAATGGGCAGAGTTAATATTGTCAATATGGCCATACTACAAAAAATATATAAACATTTTTCCTATTAAAATTATGTTCTTCAAACAAATAAAAAAGCAGTTGTAAAAGTCACTTGCAGAAATAAGAGGCCTAGAATAGCCAAAGAAATTCTCAGTGAGAAAACTGACAAAGGAGGCATCAAAAAACCACACCTTAAGTTATTCTACAAATCTATAGTAACAAAAATGGCATTGTATTGACACTAAAACAGACTTGAAGACTAATGGTACAAGATAGAACACAGAAACAAAGCCAGATAAATATAGTTATCTCATATTAGAAAAACACACCCTAAACATACATTGGAGAAAAGATGGCCCCTTCTAACTAATTAAAAAAAATCCCTTAAGAAAAAAGATAGTCTCCTCAATAAATGGTGCTGGTAAAACTGAAAATCCATATGCAGCAAAATGAAAGCAAACCCCTGTCTCCCACTTGCACAAAACTCAAAGTGGATTACGAATTATGGTATTAGGACAGAGACCCTGTAACTATTAGAAAACAAGGTAAGCACAACTCTCTATCATGTAAGATGGGGAATCAAATTCCTCAACAAGACTCCTAAAGCACAAGAAATAAAATTAAGAATCAACAAATGGGATGGTATGAAACTAAAAATCTTCTTCACAGCAAAGGAAACAAGAAAATGAAGAGAAAGCCTAGATAATCAGAGAAAATTTTTGCCACCTGTAACTCAGATAGAATATGAATCTCCATGACATATATAGAACTCAATAAATGTAACACATACACACACACACACACACACACAGAAAAAAAATCCATCAAATAACGCAATCAATGAGGGGGTAAATGAACTAAACAGACAGATCACAAAAAAAATAAATAAATGTGATCTGGTAACAAATGTATATAAAAAAATTTCTACATCTCTAACAGTTAGAGAAATACAAATTAAGACTACACTGAAATTTCATCTCTTTCCAGTCAGAATGGCATTTATCAAGACTACAATAACATTAAATTTTGGTGAGGATGTTGGGAAAAAGGTATACTCATACAATGTCAGTGGAACTGCAAATGGGTGCGATGATTTTGCAAAGTGGTTTGGAGATTTGTTAGAAAACTTGGAATGGAACTACAATTTGATCCAGTTATCCCACTCCTTTGCATATACCCAAAGGACTTAGAATTAGCAGGTATAGTGATGCAGCCACATCAATATTTATAGCAGCTCATTTCATAATAGCTAAGATATGAAATCAAAATGAGTGCCTTTCAACAACAATAATGGATAAAACACATATGGTTCAACTTGAGTGTGGTGGTCCACACCTATAATTCCAACACCTTGGGAAGCTGGGGCAGGGGGATCACATGTTCAAAGCCAGCCTCAGCCAAATCAAAGTGCTAAGTAATTCAGTGAGACTTTGTCTCTAAATAAAATACAAAATGTAGCTGAGAATGTGGCATCATAGTTGAGTGCCCCTGCGTTTAATGCCCAGTACCCATCCCCAGGGAAAAAGAAAAAGAAAATATGGTACATATACACAATGGAGTATTACTCAACAATGAAGAAGAATGAAATTGTGGCATTTACTGGAATGTAGATGGAAGTGGAGATTATCATGCCAAGTGAAATAAGCCAATCCCAAAAATCCTAATGCTGAATACTCTCTCTTATATGTGGATGCTAACACAAAAAAGGTAGAGGGAAGGGAGGAGTGGAGGTTCACTGGATTAGAAAAAAGGGAGTGGGTAGAAAGGATAAAGAATAGGAGTGGGAAAGACAGTAGAATGAGTGAGACAAAACTTTCCTATGTTCATATATGAATACACATCAAGTTTTACTCCTTATCATGTATAACCACAAACATAGGAAATTAAACTCCATTTTCTATGATATGTCAAAATATGTTATACTGTCATGTATAACTAAAAGGAAAAAAAACATAATAAATTATATATAATCATATGTATGTGTGTGTGTTTGTGAGAGAGAGAAAAATAAAAAAAAAATAAGTGTAAAAGCACGTTATTAGTTATGGCAGAAAAGCTGTCCAGATATAAAGAAGTAATTCAGTCCAATTTTCTCTGTGTCCCCATTCTCTTTTCCACCTATTAGCACACAGCACAAAAGCATCCCCAGATGTCAGTGTTATGCTGATGGTCTTCCCAGTGTCTAGATCATGAAACCTGTACACTTATGATGCTCATAATTTCCACAGCCTATGGCACTGTCATTGAAACACTAAAAGAATTAACACATGACCTCCAGCCAGGCATGGTGGTGCATGGATGACACTCAGTGACTTGGGAGTCTGAGGAAGGAGGACCACAAGTTAAAGAATAGCTTCAGGAACTTGAAAATATCCTAAGCAACTTAGAATGAATGACTTTGTCTCAATATAACTTTTAAAAGTGCTGGTGAATATAGCTCTGTGGTAAGGGCCCCTGGAATCAATCACCAGTATCCAAAAAATGACCCCCTAGAAATTAGGAATAAAATTTTAGCACTGTTTAAATGTGAGTAAAAATGGTGTAATATGTAAGCAGGTCTCATCATCCATCAAAGCAGGAATAGTAAGTGCCTGGAGGATTGACTAGTTTTAGGACTCTAAGAAAATACTTATTTCATAGCCAGAAGGAATATGAACATAATCCAGCATGGATTATATTTTCCTCCATTCTGATGAATCATAAAATATATTTTAAGTTACATGTGATCTGTAAAAAGGATCCATGGAGAAAGAAGCATGTAGGGACCACATAGATCATGATGTGTCCTCAGTAGGATGAAGTGCAATTCAACTCATCCTGGGAGACACTCAAAAGCAGATTTGTAGGGTGAAGGAAGATATTGAGGAAAGAATACCTGCTGTATGATTCTATTTGTAAAACTTTAATAAAGTGAAAACTGACCAAGAATCACAGAGAGCAAGTCATTGGATGCCTGGGAAGTGCTGTGAGAAGAGATAGGGGGAGTATTCCCACAGGGCACAGGAGGCTTGTGTGGTGGGGTGGATTTCTTGACCTTATGTGCTGATATTCACATATGTGTGACCATATCTCAAAATTTGTAAAAACTTTCATTCATGGGTGGTTCATTGTCAAATATTACACAATAAGAAAAGTTATATAAAACATAGTCTACAACAAGAATCACTGGAGGTAACCATCCCTGACACCTTCCTCTGTGGGTGCTGAACTAGGTGGCATGGCAAACATGACAACATGAATCAGAAGAGCCTTCAAACCACTATGAATCTGAGAACAAGCTGCCTAGAGCAGAAATAGAGAAGATGTGTTCATGTAAAGGTCTCTGAGGAAGGGGCATTTTCTCTGGATTCTGAGTGGGAATGGAGTTCACTGAGGGTGAAACAGATGTTAATGGGGGAGACAATAATGCACCAGAAATGTGCACTCTTTCTGGAGCAACAGACAGAGAAGATAAGGGCACAGTGAAGTGGCAACTGTGTGTGCAAAGGTAGGCAGGGCTCAGGGTACTGCGGAAACAAGATTTAGGTCCTTCAGGTGACTTCCTCAATTACCTGGACATATATAACCATGTCTGTGCCCATTATTATGTCTTATATTAGAGTATTGGCTCTGGTTGGTGTTTGGAGGGCATTCTAGAAGAGAATAGGGGAGAAAGGAGCCAACAGAGAATATTTCTAGGTAGCAAATGAAATAGAAAGTCACATCACTTTCAGGTGGGACCCTGGGCCCACTGAACCTCAAGTGAGAGAGGAGAGATGTACCAGAGTTTAAGGTAGGTGAAGGCAACACCTCTGCTGAGACTGACAAAGGTAAGGCTAGATAGACTATCTGTTCTGAGAAACTGCTGGGATGTGGATGCATATTTGTCATTTTTTGACCATGGTATAAAAATGTGGAAATTATTTAGTACATTCAGAGATAAGCAGGGTTGCATTTTCTCCCACATATGAAAAATGCAGAAGTTAAAAGAACCACCAATAGGGAACATAGAACAGTCGTTTATTTGTTCTGTCCTTCATATTTATTTATTTTATTTTTGTAGTGGTTACTCATGCAATTTTAAGATATAATTAGAGATGTCTCACATGCATGAGACATTAGATATATATATGGAATTCGAGGACTATCCCAAGTTATGTGATCAGCAAGAATTGGGCACAGGTGGAGATAGAGTGTTATAAGAGGATGCTGCAGGGCTGAGGAACTCCTGCCCATGCAGGTCAGAGAAGAGGGGGTACCTAAGTGGCTGCAGGGATTGTAGATATTAAGGACTCTCAACCCCTGACTCAAACCTCAGCAGCTTTGAATTCATTTGGGGTCCAGGTGGAGTAGCAGCCAATGAGAACCTGGAACATTCACTGTCTTAAGGATGAATGGATCACTAAAGGCAAGAAGCAGTCGACAACAAGTGCTCTCCACACATCTTCTAGGGAATACTGAAGGGGGACAAAAAACTGTTTGATAGTCCCTTTTTGGGCTGGCCACTGGCAATGCTGGACTCTGGAGTGACTACTGCAAAGTCATTCTGTAGGAACTAGCATCCTTCTAATGGCCATCCAGGATCCAGGAGCCACTCAGCCTGTGGAGAAACTCTCAGATCTGTCTGTGGTCAGAGGATCTTCCTATCTAATTCTTTCTCACCCTGATACTGCCACAGGTGTCAGTGCTGTGGTTTGAAGTCACCTGCTGTCCTCCAGTTCCTTTTCAGTTGTGTTCACCAACATTCCCCTCCTCCCAAACCACATCTTCTCTGAACACATTGCATCTGCTTTTCAAAGGCTCGAAACTCAAAAAAATCTTCTAGTTCTGAAAGAAAAATATTTAAAGGTAAAATGTGTTTCTATTTTGGTGGATTATAATTTATAAAAAAAATACAGTAGTTTTGGTAAAAAAAAAAATAAATCCACACAAATAAGTTCATAAAAGCAAAGTTGTTTCCCAAACAGTACAGAGTATATATTTTAAAGGAAGCTAAGTATTTCTTTATCATTGTGTGTGTGTGTAATATATATATATATATATATATATATATATATATATATATTACATATATTATATATATAATATTACATTATATATATATATATATATTACACAATCTCTCTCACATACACATAGATGAAGAAAAATAAAGAGAATAAAAAAAGGTCAATGAGTTTTATAAATTGTAGGTATGATCATGTTCCTTTTATATGTACTTCTTTCTATATGAATTAATTCAAAAAAAATAAATGGATCTCAAAGGCCATTATTGAACTGGGCACTTCTCAAGGGGAAACATAAATAAATTACATTATTGTATAATATCCTTTTACTACTTCATATTTACCCAGCAACTGGAGGCTTATTGGAACCATATCCTCAGTGATTTAATTTGAGCAACCACAGGTCTTGACCTTACATCAGGATCCAGAGAGCACATACTCTCCCTCTGGCCTGTTTCTTCTAAAATGTGTTGTGCATCCTACCAGCATTAGCATTTCATGGAGAGGCCAAACATTCTACCTGATTTTTTTGTCATTGCAATGAAGAAAAGTCTCAACCTTTTCCAGGAGATGCTGTGTTTCAGAGACTGCTAGAGAGCTCCACTAAATTACCTTTCTGTTCTAAGAAATGAACTGGATGAAACAATTTGTATTATTGTCTTGCAGTGTTACAGCATTCAACTCACAATTATGAGGGAATTTTTATATCAGTTGGATTAATTATTTAAATCACAAAATTCTAGATTTCAAATGTTAGTAAAACAATATAGCATATTAATAATATTTTCATATCAATAATTTCCAGTATGTTGCATTGTTTCCTTACCTTTGTATATTTCTTCAACATCATAGTTTATAATATTATTTTCTATTGATGAAATAAAAAATAATTAATACTGATTTTTTTACATGTTGTCCCCTTACCCTGCTCAACCAGTGCTGAATGCATTAGGGCCCTTCCATATCAAGATACAAACTCCAGTTCTGTATCTTTGTGTCCCGCATCAGAAGAGTCACCTTTGTGGGTGATAAGAATGTATTTGGAAGCAAATTGTACCTGGGATGGTTTTCCTGTAATTCAGATATTCATGTCAACCCTGACAATATTCTAAAGAGTCATGTTTGCAGTAATTTCTCCCATATTTTGGCTGCAGATTCAAATTAAGTCATTTTTGGGGGGCATTGGCTTGATGTTTTAAATTTATTTCTGAATATTTTGGGGATTATCAATTGCAACTTGGGAGTAGCTTAGCAATTGATGGTTATTCTGACTGCATCTTAAACATAAATTAACAAAAACAAGTTCATAAGTACAAAAGCAAAATAGCTATCTAATTAGTAATTGTCATACAAACTTCTGGTAGCTTGTTAATATAATTTGTTGAGCAGGAAGGCAGTTGTCTTCATCAATATGTAGGTTGGTAAATTACACTTCTATGTAGTTTTCAGGTAATTCTTCCATTTTAAAGAAAACTGAGTGTTAATTAGATCTCAATAATAAAATCAATTAATAAAAAAGAATTATCAATTATTTGTTAATATTTTTAAAGTGAAGGGTCTTAAAAGTAGGGGAAAAAACTCTGAATCTCCCTCATGTTTTACAAATTTTAGAGGAGAACCCTTTGATTGTTGTCACAAACAGAGTTAGAAAGAAAGCCCAGTGTAGAAGGAGAAACACTGAATAAGAGATATACTTTGGGAGTGGCAGAGTAAGTCATACGGCCATGAGCCACTGGATAGGACAACGCTTTGTGCAGCCCCAACATCTCCATTAGTGTTAAATATTTTCACTGCCTCACTTTCTTTCTACCCTGTAAAAAAATGAGATTCTGAGCACATTGAGAGTGGTATTTCTCCAACTGAAAGAGGACAGGAAGAAATGGGGGGTAAAGTGGGGAATCCAAATGCACTGAAAACATACATTGTTTTGGGAAAACTGAAAATCCATATGCAACAAATTGAAATTAAACCACTCTCTCTCACCATGCACAAAACTCAACTCAAAGTGGATCAAGGACCTAGGAATTAGACGAGAGACCCTGCAACTAATGGAAGAAAAAGTACGTCAAAATTTTCATCATGTCAGATTAGGTCCTGATTTCCTTAAAGAGACTGCTAAAGTACAAGAAATAAAATCAAGAATTAATAAATGGGATGGATTCAAAGTAAAAAGCTTCTTCTAAGCAGAGGAAACAATCATGGATGTGAAGAGACAGCCCACGGTGTGGGACAATGCTTTTATTTCATGCACATCAGAAAGAGCACTGATTTCCAGGATATACAAAAAGCTTCAAAAATTCAACCCCAAAGAATAAATAACCCAATCAATAAATGGGCTAAGAAAATGAAAGTACCCTTCACAGAAAAAAAGATATACAATTGATCAACAAATATATAAAAAATGTTCAACTTCACTAGTAATTAGAGAAATGCAAATAAAAACTATTCTAAGATTCCATCTCACTCCAATCAGAATGGGAATTATCAAGAATACAAGCAAAAATAAGTGTTGTGAGGATGTGGGGGAAAAGGTACACTCATACATTGCTGGTGGCACTGCAAATTGATGCAACCACATTGGAAACAGTAGGGATATTCCTTAAAAAGCTTGTAATGGAACCACCACTTGACCCTGCTAACTCACTTTTGGTTAATACCTAAAGTACTTAACATCAGCATATTATAGTGATGCAGACACATCAATGTTTATAGCAGCTAAATTCACAGTAGCTAAACTATGGAATCAACCTAGATGCCCTTCAATAGATGAATGGACAAAGAAATATATATAATAAAACTATGGCATTTTCAGTTAAATGGATGGAGTAGGAAAATATCATGCTATGTGACTCTCCAAAAGGCAAAGGCTGAATGTTATCCCTGATAAGTGAATGATGATCCATAACAGGAGGGAGACATGGGGAGTTTGGACAAACTTTGATTGGGCAAAGCAGGGAGGGGAGGAGAATGGACATGGGGGTAGAAAACATGGTGGAATGAGACAGATATCATTACCCTAGTTATATGTATGATTGTACATATGGTTCAAATCTACATCATATACTTTCAGAGAAATGAAAAACTGTGCTACATTTGTGTATGATGAACAGAAATGCATTCTTCTGCCATTTATAACTAATTTAGAACATATAAAAAACAAAATTAAAATTTAAAAAAATTAAAAAGCGAGGGATCATGAACTGAAATTGATTTCCATACATTTGTGTTTGATGGGATAAATACAACAACTATGAATAACTACTATACTCTAATAATAATAATAATAATAATAATAAT